AGTTATGACGGTTTAAGTACCGATTTTTCGCTGTTTAAAGCTGTTTAAAATTCCTATATATAGGAACTAATATGTTATTGATGTGTTTATTAATATTGTGTTATATTTTTTATATTACTACTTTATACAGTTTTGGATTTACTTGTTTAGATAAACCGTCAAGATATCAAAAGAACTTCAGATATTTCAGAAATATCAGAATTATAAAATAAATACCAAATATTCAGAAAAGATATTAACATTATTACTTCTGAGTTAAAGAAGATAAAAGTGAAAGGAAATACCTAAAATGTTATGGAGTTGTTAAATCAGGCATTACTCATCTTTATAATGATGTTCAAGCTGTGAAAAATTTAGTTAATACAGCTTATGCATTGGGATCAGCAAGTGTAGAACGTGTCGCCTCAAGTATTTTAAAAACAAAAATGGAAAAGGAAAATATTTTTAGAGGTGAAAAATTCACAATTGCTATTCATGGGAAACCATTGGCTATTGTAGCTGGAACTATGGCCAGTAATTGTGATCGTGCTAATCTTAGTTAAGTGTCTTTTGGAACAATTATTGAGCTTATAAAATGTTTAGAACTATCTCAGTGTAAAACCAAAAAAATATGTTCCATATTTAGCAAAAGTCTTGGCTTTCAAAATAGCATAGAAGGAAATATTATTGAAAAACTAGAAGCTTTAAAACCAGAAATGAAGGACTATTTTTCATGTAAAAAAGAAGAATTTTTTGAAGCTGGCGATATAGTAAATAAATCAATGGTTTGTTTAAAGAATATTGATGAATTTATTCATAATATAATCACTGAAAGGAATGTTGACCCTCTTTTTACAATTGTAAGAGTTGCTATGGATTCTGGTCAAGGTTTTTTAAAGGTCACTATAAATCTTTTTAATCCACATGATAAAACTAGCAACCAACCTGACCTTGATGATGCTGGAGTTAAGCGTTGTTTTGTTGTTACTATTGTAAAAGGAGTGTCTGAATACAATGGAAATCTTAGAAAATTATTTGATACTCCTAATCTTCAAAAAATTAAGTATTCTATTGCATTTGATTTAAAGTGTGCAAACTCAATGTTTGGCATTACAAGCCATGCTGGAAAATATAGTTGTTTGTGGTGTGAAGGAGAGAGTCTTTTGGATGGTGGAGAAAAACGAACTCTTCGTTCCCTCGATTATCATTCCACTAAATACACAGAAGCTGGAAAACCAAAATCAATGATGGCTGAAACTTATTGTTTATTATTTATTTTAGAAAAGTTTTGTTTTTGTTTTTAATATATTTTTGTTTTAGTTATTTATTACTAGGCTATTTTTTCATTGATTTTTGAAGAATTTTTTAAAAATAATTTTTTAGCGGTTTATTTAAATGTTAAAACTGTGGTCATATCGTCAAAACAAAATGTTTTATATATATATATATATATATATATATATATATATATATATATTTATATATATATATATATATATATATATATATATAAATATATATATATAAATATATATATATATATATATATATATATATATATATATATATATATATATGTATATATATATATATACATATATATATATATATATATATATATATATTTAAATATATATATATATATATATATATATATATATATATATATATATATATGTATATATATATATATATATATATATATATATATAAATATATATATATATATATATATATATATATATATATATATATATATATATATCTATATATATATATATATCTATATATATATATATATATATATATATATATATATATATATATATATATATATATATATATATATATATATATATATATATATATATATATATATATATAGTTAGTTAGTGGTAAACTGCGTGAATCTTATATATATATATATATATATATATATATATATATATATATATATATACATATACATATACATATATAAGATTCACGCAGTTTACCACTAACTAACTAACTATATATATATATATATATATATATATATATATATATATATATATATATATATATATATATATATATATATATATATATATATATATATATTTATATATATATATATATATATATATATATATATATATATATATATATATATATATATATATATATATATATATATATATATAGTTAGTTAGTTAGTGGTAAACTGCGTGAATCTTATATATATATATATATATATATATATATATATATATATATATATATATACATATACATATACATATATAAGATTCACGCAGTTTACCACTAACTAACTAACTAACTATATATATATATATATATATATATATATATATATATATATATATATATATATATATATATATATATATATATATATATATATATATATATATATATATTATTGGTTTTAGTCATGTTTCTTTATTTCAAAATATTGCCTTAACACATGAACAAAGAAAAAAAAATTTTAAAAAAAAGTAATTTTTTATACTTTAAGTTTTTTGTTCTCAATGGAGCAATTGGACTAGTTGTAATGGTACATATGGATTTGCAAACAGAATTAGAGAGTGTAATGTTTCAAATGATTTGTTTGACAGCACCTCTGAAGTTGTGGAATGTTTTGGTAAGAAGGTTTTATTTTATTATTTATGTACTGTTTGAGATTTGAACATGTTATATGCTCAAGATTTTTATATGCTTAATGCTCAAGATTTTTTCTATTTTACAACCTATGAATTTGGTTTACTTTACATCTGTGCATACATTGTATTTTTTTTTTTGATTGAAATAATTAAAAAAAAAATTATTTATATTATACTTTTTGATCTTTTAAACTTAATAATTTGATGTTTTTTACTTTTTCTAAAAGTTCATTTTCAGTTTTATTTATATATTTGTATGATTTTATGTTTGCATCTGTTTTGGTTAAAATATTTTGAATGTACACGTTTAAAATTTTATATTAATGTAATAAATTAAACAATTATTAATGCTGTAATATATTTTTTAAAACTGGTGCAAAAAAAGAACTTATGACAAATATTGCTATTTCACCCTAAATAAGTAATAAGAACCACCTATTGAAATCTAAATTAATTTATTAAATATAAAAACTGAATTTCAAAAAAATGTATTTAGAAGTTTTATTTAAAAATAAGTTTTTTATATTGCATTTATTGTTTTTGTAACTCAATAATTTGTAAATAAGTTGTTAACATCATAAGAAACTATAAGTTTGTTTGTTATAATAACCTGTAACAAATAACCATATATTAAGTTGGCTCAAAAGAGCTATAATTCAATATAAGAAAAATAATACATAACACAATAGTATTTATAATGTAAATTTTAATAACGCTGTAACTGACTACGCTTTTAATTTATTTATTACAATTTGACCATGGCAGTTTAGATGTTTAAACAGATTAAATGCTATCAAAAATTGTTACATTATAAATAGCTTTTAAACATTCATCTATTCTTAAGTTTTTAAAGGCTTTAAATTAAAAGGGTTTAAATTAAATAAAAAACTGATTGTTTGAAAGTAGTGACAATTAACAAATGAAGTCATATTTAAATATTTAATGATAATTTTAAATATATTAATTTGTTTGAAACTATTTTTTTGAGTCTTCTTTTGAAAGAAAATTTTTTAAGTTACTTTAAATTATAAATAAGTTAAGTTAAATCTTCTGTTGCAAGATAATGATTTGATTGCTTTATTTATTCTTTTTTTTTTTTTTTTTACTTTTTTATCAAACAATTGTTAAAACTTCTTTTTTTTTTTTTAACTTGACTAATTGATCAGAGCATGAAATAAATAAAATTACATATTAAATAGACTACATTATTTTTTTTAGTAATTTTTTTTTGCTTTACAACTTTAAAAAAAAAAAAATGTATATAAACATTTTTTTTTTTTAAAGTTGGTATAAATACTATTTGAACTTTTTCAAATGGTATAAATACCATTTGAAAAAAATTATATAAATAAAATGTATTCATTTATTAATAAACATCAGAAGTGACTTGTAAAAGCATTTTGCGTTACTTTAATAACATGTTTCAAAAGATAAATTTTTATGTAACTTATTTTAAACGCAATTAAAAAAGTGTTAAAACATAATTTTCGCTTCGAGTTTGAATTTCTTGAGTTTTAATTTAGTGCTTACATATTTTCTTTTGTGTAAAAAATTGTTTTCTTTTTTAACTTTTAAAATTTTTTATTTTTATCCTAGTTTAACTTTAGCTAGCATTCCTTTTTTCAGTGCATTTCTAAAATGTTAAAAAATCATTTAAATATCTAATTAGTCATGGTCACATTTTAAATAAAATTATTTTTGTGGTCAGCAATAGCGCTCAATCGCACATCATTCCTGTCCAAGCCTGATTTGTATATGTATAAATATATATATATATATATATATATATATATATATATATATATATATATATATATATATATATATGAATATATATATATATATATATATATATATATATATATATATATATATATATATATATATATACACATACATATCAGGCTTGGACAGGAGTGACGTGAAATATATAATATATTGATATATAATGTATATTTTATATATATATAATATTATATAATAATATTATATATACATAAATTATATACCTGATATGTATATATATATATATATATATATATATATATATATATATATATATATATATATATATATATATATATATATATATATATATATATATATATATATATATTTAAACAACTTTAAAAATGTGTTCTACAAAATAGAGTGCTCAATGTTCTTAAAAGAACTGATCAATTATAAATTTATATACATATATATATATATATATATATATATATATATATATATATATATATATATATATATATATATATATATATATATATATATATATATTTATATATATATATATATATATAAATATATATATATATATATATATATATATATTTATATATATATATATATATAAATATATATATATATATATATATATATATATATATATATATATATATATATATATATATATATATATATATATATATATATATATATATATGTATATAAATTTATAATTGATCAGTTCTTTTAAGAACATTGAGCACTCTATTTTGTAGAATACATTTTTAAAGTTGTTTAAATATATATATATATATATATATATATATATATATATATATATTTATATATAAATATAAATGAAAACCACATGGGTAAAACCACAGATGTTCACTTTTAGAAAATTTCAAGTTTTATATATTTTTATGATATTTTAGTATTAAGCTATTTTAATTTAAAAATTCATAACAATAAAACTATGATTGTCGCACTCGCTTTGCTTTAATAAAACAACAGCAAATATTCCTGAATATCCTTAATGAACAACATCCTGCCATAACATACAGAGTGGAACTTGAAAACGATCTCTAACAACTAAATTTTCTAGATATTAATATTACAAACACAGGCTCTGGAGCTTATGAATTTCAAATACATAGAAAAGAAGCTATTACAAATGTTCAATTTAAACCTAACTTGAACATTATTCCTAACATTATTATTGGCGTTTTCAAAGGATTTTTATGTCGTGCTAAAAGAATATGCTCTCAAAAACACCTTCAAAAAGAAATTGATTTTCTAATAGACACCTTTTTTGAAAATGGCCATGACAAGAACATTCTAAATAATATTACTATAGACTATTTAAAAAACAGTTAAAAAAACACCACATTTCAACCATTAGATACCCAACCCTTTATAAAACTACCTTGGATACCAATTGTTGGTCCAAAACTTCGTAAAAAATTTCGAAAGCAAAACATAAAGGTTATTTTCACATCAACTCTCAATTTGAAAAATATTTTTTGCAAGAATAAAACTAAACTACCACTAAACACAGACCCTACCGTATACCAGCTAAAATGTTCATGAGGTTTGAGATACATTGGCGAAACTAAAAAGAAGGTGATATCGAGATGTATTGAACGCCAGAAAAACAGCTTAAAAAGAAAATGGTCCAGTTTGGGTTCAACTGAACATTTTAAAACATGCCATGGTAAGTTTGATTGGTTGCACCTCAAAACATTATCTGTAGCCCCAGAATATCGAACTTAGAAAATCAGAGAGTCACTCCAAATAAGCAAGGTTAGGGTTTGACAGGAGTTGAGAAATGGTGATGTGGTTCTCAATCAGGATGACAGTGATAAAGTAATAACTAAAATCTGGGGGCTATTTTTTAATAAAATCTGCTGATGTTTGTTATTTGAAAAGTTTTTTTTGTATTATATTTTGGCTTTTTAGTGTTATCTTTTTAACGGTTTGTTTTTACTATAACGATTTTTTTGTAAATATATTATTTATTATATCTGATGACGCTGATCACAATAGATTAGCGAAATACTGAAATAATTATTTTATTTATAATTATATATATATTAAAAAAAATATATATATTATTTATAGTTTATATATGTATATATATATATATATATATATATATATATATATATATATATATATATATATATATATATATATATATATATATATATATATATATATATATTATTTATATATATATATATATATATATATACATATATATATATATATATATATATATATATATATATATATATATATATATATATATATATATATATATATTTGTATATATATATTTATATATATACATACATTTAGTTATGTTTGGTGGAATTTAGTTTTTAATGTTTTCACTTATAAGTAGCCTATTAAGTAAAAATGAAAACTTATAAGTAGCCTATTAAGTAAAAATGAAAAGAAAGAATTTTAGTCTAATTTACTTGATATTTATTATTATGACTTTAAATTTTATACTATTTTTCCAATGCATTTACTATTCCACCACTACCTAATTATTTGACTTATTTGATTATCATTTTTAAATTTAGATTACAACCTATACCAAGTTATAAGAGTTATTTGATTGTCAACACAATGCACAAGTTGACTATGTAAGAAAGAATATTAATATGGAGTAAAAATCAATACAAACATTGAAAATTTTAAATAAATTTTTGCTAAAAACTAGGATTAAATCAAATAAACCAAGTTTCTAAGAATTTTGTTATGTTGTTTTTTAATTACGTTACTTATGCTATTGTGCAATGAAATAACTCAGTTTTTTCTTGAACTTATAGTTTATACCATTTACCAGTTGTCTATTGAACTTTTAATGATGAAGCTTTGCATATAATGTGCGATATTGGAACCCAGAAAGAATTTTCTTTATGCGGCCAAGTAAAAGTGTTTAAGGAAATGTCATGAACTTGATAAGAACCTCTTGTTTTCCTTAGATATTTCTACAATATTGCCTAAAGACCATTTTACATCATAAACACGTGCTATATTAATTCCTGTTAAAAGAGAAGAAATTGGAACTATATGATGCATTTTAGGAACATTTACATTAGTATACATGTTGTCAAAGGACACCCCTTTCATCTGTAAAATAGATAATGATTGTGGTATAAAACAATAATGGTTTCTTTTTCATGGAATTGTTAAACAAGTAGCATAACATTTTTCTAATTTAAACTCTATGCAATGCATTACAATTGTATCATTTGAAATGTATTGAAATGCATTCCTTTGATATTTTGTGTACATCAATCAAATATTTCTTAGGTGAATTAATAGGATCTGTAAGTGATTGTAAACTGGCCTTAGCTACTTTTTACAGTGCTCCCTACGCCATCACACACACTCTTTTCATGTGGTGTAGCATAAAATGCCATTCTGCTGATACTTTATAATCTAATTCTATTATAATTTTTGTATTGTGAACCTGCCCCATCACTAAAATAAATCCAGTGGCTAAAATAAGGCAACAACTTTTGTGTTTTATTACTTCATAAATGAAACAATGAACTGAGTTTACTATTTTGCAAATGATCTGAAATGTTACAAACACTTTTACATTATATCATATTTTCTTCCATATAGTAAATAACAAAAGGATGCAATGTTGCTTGATTGCTGTTCTAATGGAAACCTAGTCTGCATTTTAAATTAACAAAACTGTAATTTTTAACTAAGTCTAGTAATACCGACTTTACGAAATCAAAACGCCTACCGTAATGAGAACGTAGAAACTATGATTTTATAAGTTTCTAGCACTGATTATGAAATCTTTTTAAATCCATACATTATTTGTATTACAATATATAATACAAATGTTGTGAAACCATAAGTCTATTTTAAATATTTTTAGCTTTTATCAAATATTAAGTCAAACACAATTCATGATCTAAAAAATGGATTTTATAACTCATTAACTAAATATAATTAGAATAGCTTAAGTTCATTTAACTATATTTTTATAATGAGTAGTACCCTTTTGAATAGGTGGTTGGTTAGGTATTGTTGTAGTTGATTGATTATAAGAGAAGCTATCTTTTATTGGATTCCCAAATGGATGCAGTAGGTTCAAAACTACTTTGCTGGTATCATTTTTTCCTAGACTCAATGTTTTCAGGGTCAGACTAACAGCTTTAAATATTGTTACATTCATTCTTTCACATTGACCGTTGTCTTGTGGGTGACATGGAGTAGTTGGAATGTGGGTGATCTGTATGCATAGATTATGGTGCACCAAATAATGAAAAAAGACTGAGAATGTGTTGTATTACAGTGTCAGCTGTTATATCCTTACAAGGGAATGCAAATGGGTAGTGATAGTATTCGTCTACTACCACGAGGATGTATTTATTAGCTGAGGTGGATTGTAAAGGTCCAACAAAGTTCATAGATAGCGTTTCCAAGGTCTCGTTGCCTGAATAAGATGACCAGTTGGAGGTTTGTAGAGTTCATTGCAAAACCCAAAATCTACCCTACTCTACCACTGAAATTATACATCTAACAAGCCAATGTACAACCTGTAACAAACTCAAAGGGCGCTTCTACAAACCTCCAACTGGTCGTCTTATTCAGGCAACGAGACCTTGGGAACGCCTACCTTTAGACTTTGTTAGACCTTTGGTTGTACATTGTACAGGTTTTGTTGTACAGGTTGTACATTGGCTTGTTAGTTGTTAAATTTCGGTGGTAGAGTAAGGTAGATTTTGGGTTTTGCAATAATGTATCATTTTTATAACTCCAGGATGACATAGTTGTGAATGAATATTGTAAAAGGTTTTATTGGTGTTTTGAATTGAGCAACATCGAGAAAGGGCATCGGCTACGATATTTTGATTTTCTGGTCTGTATGAAATTGTATAATTAATATCTACTAACTCTAAACGCCATCGAGTCAGTTTTTCGCTTTTAATTTTTGTCGAAATCTTTTTATTGAATTTAAGGGAAATGGATCTTTGGTCTGATATTATAATGGTATATGCTACTTAATTTATTAGGTTTTCCCATCTTCTTTAGCATTTTACAATAGCAGTTGCTTCTTTCTCAACAATTGTGTGTTATCTTTCCGAGTTTGTTAGTGTACTTGAGAAGAAGGTCACGGGTCTGTGTAATTAAAGTAACCCTCCTCCCAGTACTGTGTCAGAGGCATCTTTTTCATTATTTAGTGGAACTTTGAAGTTGGGGGAGGTTAGACAAGCTTCTGCAAGTTTAATTTTGACCTTTTTAAATGCTTCATTTGCCTAAGGGGTTAAGCCCCTAGTTAGAAAGTTGTATCTTGCTTGAGTAAGCGGTAGAGTAAACTCAGTACAGTTGTATATCTGTTTTGCATAGTAGGCGAACAAACCTATCATTGGATTTAGTTCTTTTAAGGTTTTTGGTGCCATCATATTTAAGAGAGCTTCATATCTTTCAGGGTCGTGTTTTAAGGTTCCATTTTCAATGATATGGCCTAAGAATTCGATGTGAGTTTTTTTAAATTAGCTCTTTTCTTTGATTATTTCTACATTGGCGATTTGAGCTGCGTGTAGGAAACGGCTAGGATTTTTATTGTGTTCTTGGACACCTTTCCACCAGTAATTATATCGTCGAGGTAAGCATATGTATTTTCTAGTTTATTATTCTGAATAAATTCATCCATAACCTGCTGAAAAAATGTTAGAGCATTTGTGCAACCAAAAAGTAAACTTTTAAACTCATATAGTTTGCCATTTGCTTCGAATGCCGTTAGCTTGTAATCTTCAGGTCGTATTTTTACCTGATAGTAAGTCGATTTGAGGTTAATTGTACTAAAGACTTTATGAGCAGCTATCTTAAGTATCAAATCGAGGTACTCCGTATAAATTGAGTGGACCGTGTAGATTGATTGTATTCAAATTATTTATTTTGAGGAACCCGTCGTGATGTTGTAGTGACTGGTTTAACTTTGTCAATATCCACTCCAGGTATTGATGCGTAATTAGTACACTTCATGCTCTTTGTTGCCAGACAGAGTTTTAAGGACTCTTTAAAATTGATTACATTTTTAAAGGTTACGACTTGCAGCAAAAGATGGTAGCTTAGTATTAGCTGTCGTGGTTGTTGTCAAATAAGGAGCATTTTTGGTGGCTAATTCCTTTGTTAGCTCTGTTTTAAAAAGTGCCTCAAGATTGTGTTCTGTAGTTTCGAGGAGTCATTGTTGAATAGAAGGTGAGTAAATTCCAGCGACAAAAGCGTAGCAAATTAGTAAATTAATATGTTGTTCTGTTGTTAGAGGTTCTGTTAGACATTTTCTTGTGAAAGTAAAAAAATATTAAGAATATTCTTTTACTTTCATAAAAGTACGAAAAATATAACAACAAACTAAAGTACAACAATAACTTTATTTTTAGTGTTTTTAATTCATTTTGGCCAATTTTCATTGCTCTGATTTTGGAACTTTCCCATGAGTACTCACTATTTTTTTCTAAAAACACTGCAATAAAGTCTATAAATAAAAACAAAAAAAAAATCTTATTAAACCAGTGTTGATCCTACGTTACCTGTGGTTTAAAGTGGAGGCACATTTTCCTAAGTTTTACCGGCAGCCATTTTTAGAAGTCTTTAATGTTTATTTGTATTGTATCTTATCAGTAAATTTCTGAAAACTTGGAAGCCTACCATATATAGAAACTAAAAAACATATCTTTTCACTTATTAAACTGCAGGTTTTGTATATTGATTTATCAAAAATCAACTTTTTATATTTGCAAACATTTTTTAAGGTTTTTTAGGTAGCCATTATGAAGAAAATGTGATATTAGAGAATTCAATGTCAAAGTTTTGTTAAAGTAAGTCTAGAATTGTATACAACAACAAAAAACTAGAAGGTTTTCTGAAATTTTGTTTTTAAAATATAAAGCTTCAAAGTATGAACAAAACATGTTTTTCCTACTGAAGTTTTTATTTTTGGAAAAATCAGAAATTTCCAATGCTCATATCTCATGAACCACAAAAGATTTTATGATGAAATTTTCATGAATTGCTTTTCTCATTAGTAATAAGAAACCCACTAAGTTTCATCAAAATTTTAGGTGTTTCATGTTGAAATCCTGAAATTTTGGTCCATTTAGCATGGAATGACCCCTATATTTATCATAGAAAAGTTAATTAAATAATGTCAATTGTAAAACTATAAAGTAATAAATTAATAAACAATATTTTATGCATTAGTTATTTGGGCACCTTGGAACACTTTATCAAGTTGTAATGGTTCTTTTGGATTAATAAACAGAACAAGAGAATGTTCAAATTCTGTAGATTTTTGTTATGGTATTAAATCTGAAGTGATGGAAATCTCAGGTAGAAAGTCAAATTTAAAATATTATATTATATAAATTCATTGTCTCATTTTAAATCATATTGTAAATGTTCTAATTTACTTTTAACTTGATTAACTGTGATTTAAAGTCTTGTTAAAAGTCTACTTAAAAAAGCATTTAAATTAAAAAAAAAGATAATACATACAATTCTTAGCTCCTTAAAAATAATTTTATTAAATAATTGATACCTTGATTTTATGGATGTATGTGCTATGTATGATTGATGTCTTTGCAATTCCCATAATTTCATTTGCACACCTTTTTAATATTACATCCTCGTTCTTTAGGCGCAGAATCACATGAAAAAACATATATAATATAAAAACATTTTTGAAAGAAACAGTTGATTGCATAAGATTTTTTTTTTTTTTACATTATTATTGGTTTATAATTTATTATTATATAATATATTAAACAAACAATAAGACATTGGTTTTGCTTTATTTTAGTTTATTTCCATTTTAAGTCTAAATTTTATACTGTTTTAATGTTTGTGTAGAATTAATGTGAAAATGAATAAAATAAATTTAAAAATGTATATATATATATAAATATATACATATATATATATATATATATATATATATATATATATATATATATATATATATATATATATATATATATATATATATATATATATATATATATATATATATATATATATTATATATATATATATATATATATATATATATATATACATATATATACTTAAATAAAGCAAAACCACTGTCTTATTGTTTATTTAATATATTTTATAATAATAAATTATAAACCAATAATAATGTAAAAAAAAAAAAAAATCTTATGCAATCAACTGTTTCTTTCAAAAATGTTTTCATATTATATATGTTTTTTCATGTGATTCTGCGCCTAAAGAACAAGGATGTAATATTAAAAAGGCGTGCAAATGAAATTATGGGAACTGCAAAGACATCAATCATACATAGCACATACATCCATTAATTCAAGGTATCAATTATTTAATAAAATTATTTTTTAAGGAGCTAAAAATTGTATGTGTCATGTATATATATATATATATATATATATATATATATATATATATATATATATATATATATATATATATATATATATATATATATATATATATATATATATATATATGTTTATTTTTATTGTTATTTATTTTTATTCAACTATATAAATAAAAATTTACAAATCTCATTGTAAATTAATAGAATTTAATTAGGTGTCATTCATATAGTTACAAACTAGTCAATGGAGTGAAACTGAAGAAACATAAAATTCTCAAAAAAATAAAAAAATAAAGAAATTAAAAATAAAAAAAAAAGAAACAGACTGCGAAAATATATATATATATATATATATATATATATATATATATATATATATATATATATATATATATATATATATATATATATATATATAAGAAAAAAAAAAAAGTTTGTCAAATAATAATGATATATATAATAATTATAGTAATGATACAAAATATTAAGAATAATAATAAAGTATCAATAATATTAAGAATATTTATAATAAAATATAAATTGTATGTACATATCATAGATAATAATTAAATATAATAACATTAAAAGTAGCAATAATAACACGATAATAAATAAATATATTATAGATAAATAATAAATAAATAAAAATCAAAACACTTGTTTCATAAAGAAATCATATTATAGAGACAACTACAGTACAGAGATAAATTATAAAGAAATACGCTATAACAATATAATTTTAAATTGAATTCTGTTGAGCAGTAAATATTCCGTAACAAGGGGATATTTTTTTTAGATTTTTTATTTATGCAGGAATACACTGATTCCAATCGGAAATACATTGTTGTTTTATAGAAAAATTACATTTAATAGTGTTAAAAATAGAAGAGTATAGCTTACTATTTTCTGTATTCCTGGTGTGATGATTATGAATTTCATTTGTTTTAATAAAAAAGTTTAAAAAATAGTTAAGTAGTTTCTTTTGGAGTAAGTCAAACACAAAAAGACAATTGTAAAACTTTACATGATATGGAGTTTTAGGATTTTTAGTTCAGAAATTTTTTTTGAATACCACCCAGCGGGCACGGCAACGTCCATATGACGTCGAAAGGACGTCTTTTTAGGACGTCCAGAACTAGTTCTAAATGGCAACGCCAGATGACGTCTTTTTAAGACGTAATTAGGACGTCTTTTTAGGACGGAATAAAGACGTTTTTTTAAACGTCTAAAAGGCGTGAATTTAGGACGTCCAGAACTAGTGCTAAATTGAAACGCCGAACGACGCCTTTAAATAACCAAATTTAAACGTCTAAAATACGTGTTCTAACATGGCTTTACTTAAACGTAAGGTTCAAATTTATGTTTTCACAGAACTTCTTGAGAATAAGAAAAAAAGAATAAATCATTTAAATTTTTTTATTATATAATTGTGTTAAGTTTTATAAATTACAACTTTGTAAACTTCTTCTTCCACTTGCTAATTTCCAAGAATCGAATTTTCGAACAGTTGACGTCATTCACCTTCTTTTCAATCAGATGCACTCTTTAAAATATTGCCACCAGCATTTTAAAGTTTTTTTTTGCTGTAGGAATCAGGGAAACAGTCTTAATCTTAAAAAAATATTATTAAGATAAGTATGTAAAAATAAAGGGGAAAGAAATAAATAACATACACACATATATATAATCATTATTTTAAAAACATAACATCAAACATCTAAAAATACGAATTTCTTAACACTAAATTTATTTTTTAAAAGAAATTTTTGACTGGATTGTTGTGACCAGCGTATATATTTATGTATATCAAGTATGCAATATAATAGCGGTATTAAAAATGCTCTTTTTATAGTAAAATTATTCTTACTTTAAAAGCATGCCCTTCTCAAATGCACTGCATGATGAGCCACCAACATTTAATAACTTCTATTTCTAAATTCAAAAGATAACACTAGTAAAATTGATATGGGACAGTTTAGTGTAAGTTATATTGGGCATAGGAGCAATTTATTAGTGTTTTATTCAATTCAAAAATTTTGTGTAAATTATGTATTGTTTTGGGAAAAGCAAAATATTGAATCACAGATTTTCAAATTTTGGAGGAGCTGAATGAATTAAAGAAGTTGTTACTAATAAAAATTCATTTGGCATATTACATAAAATAAATTGAACCATACATAAAATTACATATGAACTATAGCCAAAACCGTTGTTCTATTTTTTTAAAACCGAAAGCAAAAATAAAAATGAAATTTAGAGTTAAATACATTTAATCAAATAAAATTTCTTTAATTTAAAACAAAATTAGATACAAAAACTAAAAATACATCAATTCTAGATTCCTAAATGCATATTTAAATAAATGCAATATGAGTTTTTGAAATACAAAACAAAAATGTAACATAATATTACCAAATACAAACATGTATTTGACCAAAACATATATATCAACTGACACTTGATGTAGTTGACACTCCTAAAAATAAAATCTTAATTAACAAGTAAATAAAATTTATGGAAAAGTAAAAAATATTCTTACAAGTGTTATTTTTTTAGCATTAGCATTATTTTTTTTTTTTAATTTTTTAGTTTAACTTTAAATTGTATCAAATTGATGTTTCACACTATCTATTTCTAAATTTTAACTAATACTACAAAATCTACTAATTTTAACTAATAATTCTAAATTTTAACTAATTCTAATAATTTTAAATTTTAGCAAAACTCATTTTTATTTTATTTATTGACATATATTTTGTATTTTTACTATTAAAACTGACGCTATAAGTAAGGATATATATATATATACATATATATATATACATATATATATATATATATATATATATATATATATATATATATATATATATATATATATATATATATATATATATATATATATATATATATATAAGAATATGTATATATGTATATATATATATATATACATATATATATATATGTATATATATATATATATATATATATATACACACAATAGAATTATAGGTTTGCAATCAATCAAAGAACTATATAATTTTTTTATTAATAAGTATAATCCATTCACTTTAATAAAATTTCCTAGATAATAAAAAAAAAAGAGGAGAAGTTAAGGAGTGTTTCTCATCGGTTACTTAGTAAATTGCCAATAACATTTCAACACGTGATATAGTGGTTATTCATATGTTAGGCACTTTTGGCTGCTGCCACTAATAGGCCATTAAGTAAATGATGACCAAAACTGCAATGACCTAAAATGCCTATATAGCTTCACTGAAATTCTGATTTAAATGTTTTTGCTGTGTTATATATTTTTTTACTAAATACTAAAACTAAAACCATAAATTTTCAAAATATCATTATAAAAAATCATTTCAAAAAAATATTAAATCAAGTCCATCTTTAAATATATTTTTCTTATTCTTATTTAAGTTGGATAAGTTACTAAAATATAAATTTTATCAAATAATATAAATATTGATTTTAATTAAAATTATTCATATTGAACTTTTAAAGTATGATAAAAGAGAAAAGTTATTTACATCTATCTTCTAAAGGATACTTTTAGATAATCAGATAATAAAAGAGTAGGATAAGCCACTAAAAAATGTCTAATTAAAAAAATTAAACAATACAGTTATATAAAAGACAGGTAGGTAAAAAATTTTCTTTAGAGTAAAGGAAATTTTCTACCCTCCTGTCTCTTATATAACTGTTACAACTGGTTTAATTTTTTCAATTAGACTTATTTTTGAGTCAAAACTTTTGAACTTCACTAATAACTAATTACTAAAGTTAAGTAACTGGTTATTAGCGTCGTTCCAAAACTTGATATTGTAATATTTCAAAAAGTTCATTAACTAATGTACTGGTCTAATTATTTCGAATAGAACAATCTAAAAGTTGTTAATTAAAGATATTAAATTATATTGAATTATTAGCATAAATTCTCTGTATTATTAATAGGTTTTCC